GCGAGGGGCCCAAAACTGAACACAGTACTCGAGGTGCGGCCTCACCAGAGCCGAGTACAGGGGGACGATCACCTCCCTAGCCCTGCTGGTCACACTGTTTCTGATACAAGCCAGGATGCCGTTGGCCTTCTTGGCCACCTGAGCACACTGCTGGCTCATATTCAGCCGACTGTCCACCATCACTCCCAGGTCCTTCTCTGCCTGGCAGCTCTCCAACCATTCCTCTCCCAGCCTGTAGTTCTGCTTGGGGTTATTGCGCCCCAGGTGCAGGACCCGGCACTTGGCCTTGTTGAACTTCATACAGTTGACCTCAGCCCATCGGTGCAGCCTATCCAGATCCTCCTGCAGAGCCTTCCTACCCTCGAGCAGATCGACACACGCACCTAGCTTGGTGTCATCTGCAAACTTACTGAGGGTGCACTCAATGCCATCATCCAGATCATTGATGAAGATGTTAAAGAGGACCGGCCCCAGCACTGAGCCCTGGGGGACGCCACTAGTGACTGGCCTCCAACTGGACTTGGCTCCATTCACCACAACTCTTTGGGCCCGGCTATCCAGCCAGTTTCTAACCCAACGAAGCGTGCGCCAGTCCAAGCCAAGAGCAGCCAGTTTCTTGAGGAGAATGCTGTGGGAGACGGTGTCAAAAGCCTTGCTGAAGTCAAGGTAGACCACATCCACAGCCTTTCCCTCATCCACCCAGCGCGTCACTTTGTCGTAGAAGGAGATCAGGTTCGTCAAGCAGGACCTGCCTTCCATAAACCCATGCTGGCTGGGCCTGATCGCCTGCTTGCCCTTCAAGTGCCGCATGATGACTCCCAAGAGGATCTGCTCCATGAGCTTCCCTGGTACTGAGGTCAAACTGACCGGCCTGTAGTTCCCCGGGTCTGCCCTCCGGCCCTTCTTGTAGATGGGCGTCACATTTGCTAGCCGCCAGTCAGCTGGGACCTCCCCCGATAGCCAGGACTGCTGATAAATGATGGATAGGGGCTTGGCCAGCTCCTCTGCCAGTTCTCTCAGTACCCTTGGGTGGATCCCATCCGGCCCCATCGATTTGTGCACATCCAAGTGCCGTAGCAGGTCACCAACCAGTTCTTCGTGGATGGTGAGGGCCACATCCTGCTCCCCGTCCCCTTCCACCAGTTCTGGGTACTGGGTATCCAGAGAACAACCGGTTTTGCCACTAAAGACTGAGGCAAAGAAGGCATTAAGCACCTCCGCCTTTTCCTCATCTCTTGTAAATAAGTTTCCCCCCGCATCCAGTAAAGGATGGAGATTCTCCCTAGTCCTCCTTTTTGTGTTGATGTATTTATAAAAGCGTTTTTTGTTATCTTTAACAGCAGTAGCCAGATTGAGCTCCAGATGAGCTTTGGCCTTCCTAATCTTGTCCCTGCACAGCCTCGCTACATCCTTATAGTCCTCCTTAGTGGCCTGCCCAATTTTCCAAAGATTATAAACCCTTTTTTTCCTCCTAAGCTCAAGCCACAATTCTCTGTTGAGCCAGGCTGGTCTTCTTCCCCGCTGGCTCATCTTTGGGCACATGGGGACAGACCGCTCCTGCGCCATTAGGATTTGCCTCTTAAAGAGTGCCCAGCCTTTCTGGACCCCTCTGCCCTTCAGAACCGCCTCCCATGGGACTCCACCAACTAGTGTCCTGAGCAGCCCAAAGTCAGCGCTCCGAAAGTCCAATACAGTGGTTTTACTGGTTCCCTTCCTGGCCCCGCCAAGAATAGTGAACTCCACCATTTCGTGGTCACTCTGCCCAAGACAGCTCCCAACAATCACATCCTCCACCAGTCCTTCTCTGTTTGTGAAGAGAAGGTCTAGCAGGGCACCACCCCTGGTAGGTTCACTAATCAGCTGCGTCAGGAAGCTATCTTCCACTTTCTCCAGAAACCTCCTAGACTGCTTCCTCTGGGCTGTGTTGTGCTTCCAGGCTATGTCAGGGAAGTTGAAGTCCCCCACGAGTACAAGCGCCGACGAATTCGCAACTTCTGTCAGCTGCCTGTAGAACTCCTCATCCGTCTCCTCATCCTGGTTCGGCGGTCTATAGCAGACCCCGACCAGGACACTAGCCTTGTTGTCCCTGCCGATCCTAACCCAAAGGGACTCGATCTTGTCATTCCTAGCCTCGAGTTCTACAACATCGAAAGACTCTCTAATATAGAGAGCCACACCGCCACCCCTTCTGTGCTGCCTGTCCCTTCTGAAGAGCCTATAGCCAGGCATCGCAGCACTCCAGTCATGAGACTGGTCCCACCACGTTTCCGTGATGGCAACCAAGTCGTAGCCTGCCCGCTGCACGATGGCTTCCAGCTCCTCCTGTTTGTTACCCATGCTGCGTGCATTGGTGTAGATGCACTTCAGCTGGGCCTTTACCTTATCCTCCGGCCTTGCCATTGCTCCCCCTGGCACAGCCCCAACAATCCTTGCTTCAGCAAGGATTCGACTCTAGATAAAGTGTTTTTTGTTTGTTTGTTTGTTTTTGGTTTTTGTTTTGTTTTGTTTTGTTTTGTTTTTCTATGTTGATACAGATCTTTACAAGTGCAACATTTTGTCTGGCCATACATAAATACTTTACTTATTTTATGTGTTTTAAATGAATGACATGCTTCTGAACAATTAAAGATTTTTAAAATTTTCTTAGCTACCCTATTATTTCTATCTCATTCTATTCTAACGTATGAAATATTTAATTGGAAAGCAATTACTCTTGGCTAATGATTGTACAGGCCAGCAAAGGAGTTTGAGGGAATAATAGTATGTCTGGAGCAGGTGATGCCTAAACTTGGTTTGCTGGAACAAGGGCACAGTGACCAATTCTGTACTTTAAGACTGAGTAGTGGTTATCAATTAGCTATATCTACTTATTTTAAGGTAGCATGAGTAGTGCTGGTTTCCAGAGTCTTCCCATTCTTTTTTCAAAGTAATATGTTCAATGAAAATAGCAACTCATGGTGGGGTCAGTACATCCTCTTTTATTTTTATATTTTCTCTTAATATACATTCAATTTTAAAATATTTGCTCTGGCTTCCATTAACTACAAGAGTCACGCTGCCCCTTAAAGATATGACATAAGACATTTCTTAACCTTCTTACTCAAACCCACCTGATACTTTTTCAGTACAACCCATTACATAGCAATGTTTCACTACACATCATTTACATCCATAAGGCAGTACTTCATCTTCTATTCTGATCTATTGTAAATCAATATGTTTTGTACAAATATTCTTTTGTAAAGACTTAGAGAAAAAAATGCAGCCATTAGGATGCAGAATTGTGCTACTGGCTGACAGAAAGATGCTGCTAATCTGGGGCACTTGAATAACTGATAAAGTGTGTCTTGTGATAACAGATTAAGCACAGAGGAAAACGAAATTACCTCAAGATCTCAGATCTGAGGAAGAGATTTTCCCAACCACTGAACCTAACAGATGGTATAATACATATCACTGACCAAACATTAGAAATGAGGTTTTAACAGAGTTAAAAGTAAGTACACAGAGTTTAACAAACATTATTTAACTTCAGGTAACTGCACATGGACTTGCATGGATGCACATTGGATACAGAACTTCTTTCAGAAAAAAAGATCTTATAGAAAAAATTGACCTTACTTTAATGGCTTAGTGGTGACAAATTCACCATCTTGTTCTTCCTCTGTGTTTCTAGTCTAAATTTCTTACCTTTGACATCCAGAGACAGTATTTTGTCATGTATCTATTAACGACGTTGAAAAATTATACATGATCCTTGGGAAAAAGGAAAATACTTATGGAGTAGGATTAAAGGCATTTCTCAATCTTCTTTTCAAGAGTCAGACAGTATTATATGCCTTAATATTGCATCAGGTCATGGTCATCCTTTGAATCCATTCTAACATTGTCTATATGATCTTCAGTTTGAATAGCTGTTTTATACCAGGAGAGGAGAAAGGAGAGGAGAGGAGAGGAGAGGAGAAGTAGTAAATTTCAATTTTATTTTCCAAACCTAATTTACTGAAAACAAGTCATCTTATAGATAAGATATAGAGCTTATCTGTGCTGCAGCAGCAAAAGCCATTCCCCAAGACAATGGAAGTACTCCTGGAATTTCTACTTATCTTTTTTTTTTTTTTTTTTTTTTTTTTTTTGACTGACATTTTAAGGAACATTTCCAAACATACATGTTTGTTATTGCTTGTGTTACTTATTACTCACCTTCTAAATTAAACAAATATTGGAAAATATGCTTACAATTTTAATTCACTTTGTTCTCTGAGCTTCTTCTGTGATAATTAGAAGGTTTTTTGTTTGGTTGGTTTTTATATGTTTTCCAATGTGAATATATTGGATTGATTATTGAGATTAGAATAAGGACATATATCTAATTTCTCTTGTTTGTTTAGCAAGTTTAAAATCTGAAAAGTGTATTTACAAAAGCTTCCCCTCTTTGGCTCTTGAAAAGACTCCTGAGTAAATCTGAAAATTGTAACAGCAATACATAACGTACATAAATTTATCTAATGCATAGCAAATATCAAAAGTGTGTTTTGAGATGAGTCAGACTTAAAAACAGTTGTGTGACCTTTCATTCTGATTGTATTCTCATCTAGTGACAGTTTCACTAACACTACATGCAACCTTTTCCCAATTTCTGCTTTTCAAAATCAAGCCTTTTAAAATTCGGAAGTGTAACCAGTGTACTTAGTCTTCAGACATCTCGTTGGACACCTTGCACTGAAATACACTTTTTTGAATTGTCACTATTTAGATGGTGGCATAACAGTGTTTTTGGCTCTGTAGTCTAGTTATTTCCAGCTAACCCCTCACAGTCTATCATGTTTTTCGTGGCTGCCAAGCAGATATTTCTAAGATGGTGATGTATTTCCACTGTGGTTTCTGCCTTCATCATTTGATTATATCAGTGTGTGCCATTGCTGTTTTCCTATTTGCATGGTTTGGTAAATTTCTTGACTGACTGCTCCTTTGTGTCAATTTTATCCTCTTGCATATAGAAAGCTGATCTCTCCTGAAGTGTACCAGAATTCCTGGATGTCGCTGAGTGCAGAAGCCAGCAGATGTCAAGAAGAAAGAATAGCTTCAAGCCTTTATGAAAAGGTCTGGACGCTAGCAGTGATGGGAGCCAGACAAAAAAAAAAAATAAAAAAAAAAGAGAGAGAGAGAGAGAACTTATTAAATTTCTAGATCCAGCAGTTTAAATCAGTTTAAATATCCAATTTATATTAAAGCACTAGAATCTTAAATTTTGTGTAGCTGTTATGTCACTCCTTTGCTTTGCTGTTTCCCCAGTCAGAGGTGATAGACCTGCGTTATCTCAGATTATCATGGCAATATCTGAAGTATTTTTTATCTGGGAAGTGACTCACTGTTTTGCAAATTTATGAGACATCAAAATGAATGCATGCATCAGCTAAGGACAAAGTGATTTCAAAGAGCTTTTCTGTGCAGAGTGAACAGAAACAGGATGACTGTTTTTTAACTCAGTGTTAGCTGATAAACTCAAATATTTTACAAGCATCTTTAAGAGATACTGAAAAATATAGCTATATTTTCTCCCTTGCTTTTTCTTTTCTGTTATGAAAACAGAATTATAGTACTTGTCTGCTCTAACTAAAGCTGATCTAAAAAGAGAAAAAAAAACCACTAAGTTTCTCCTTCCAAATCTTTATGACTTTATTTCAAATTTTAAAAATCTTCTAAAACATACGAACACTTTCAAAACCAAACATAAATTCCAGATGTTATGTAGGCCTCCCAGAACTGAATTATCTACTGACCGTGTTTTGTAGAGACAGATAACTACCTCTGCACTGGCATGCAATGAGCAGCCGTTCAGCAATCGTATTTAGGTCCCAAAAATGTCTGGCAAATCTTAGTAGCGACATGAAAAAAAAAAGGAGGAAGAAGGCAAAAGTACATGTCAATAGCCAGGAGATGATGGGTCGAGACAGACACTAAGGTTTTACTAAAAAGCAAAAGCAGCTATTTGTTCCATGTTCACTGCTACTTGCTGGTTCTGGCTCAGCTGGAGCTTTGTGGACGACTCTCTCAGGACTTTCCTTAGCACAGCTAAAGTAAGGCAGATGTCACCTGTTCATCCACTTTTGAGGTGAAAACCAGATACACAGTGAACTCTCTAGTCATATCTTGTGAGAGAGGTCAGGGTGCTGCATGCACCTCTGGAACCCCTGTTTTGCTGGAAGCACGAGGCTGGAAGCTGTGTGCCACTTCTCACATAGCAGGACCACTCTGGATACAGCTTGTGTAATGTCATCTTGAAAGTCAGGGCTTTCCTAGGCACAGCCATGGTGAGATAGGTGCAGGCTTAAAATGCTGTGGTGCTATTGGCATTATGGCAACAAACTGGTAAGTGAGGAGCAGGAAGTACAGCTTGAAAGGTCTTGCAGAAGGCCTATGTGCCAGTGCCATGCCTTGTGTATGGACAGAAACAAAACCCTGGAGTGCTATCACTCAGCCCTTGGCAGGGAATTTACAAGGAGGTGTAGATGAGCTTTACCCAGACATAATTCAAACATAATAGCAGTAAGTAATGCACATACAAAAGATATCAGGGCTCAAATTTAAAGACAGTTTTTCAGAAGTATGAAAAACTTTTTATAGATAATGTGGTAGAAAAGGCAATGGGAAAAGAGACCAGGAATGGGTCTTATCTCCCTGTGCACACAGATGGGCTTCTGTCAAAATGCAGGCATTGCACTCTGTGTGTAGTACATCAAGGTACTCAATTCCTTGGATGTCTTGACTTTGCATTTACAACCCTCTTTAATTTCATAGCATAGGTGTTTATAGGCATATAATTAAAAATAACACATTAGAACAATGAATTATAATGGCACCTCAGTTTTCCCAGACCATATAAATTAATCACTTCTCATCCTCCTCTGACCTTGTTTCAGTAAGTAGATAGGATAAATTCATTTGACATTTACTCTTTGCCAGTTTCACTTCCTGAACATCCTCTACAAAGCAGCAGATTAATTCTTCAGGGTTAAAGTGTGATGTAGACAACACAGCTGTACAAGAGACTGAGAGGATAAGAAACTCTCTTGCCACATGCTCCACCAACCACCAAAATATCAGTAGCAAGATCTAGCAAGCCGTCTTGCTGCCAGCCTGCAGCAGATGGGGAAGGAGATAACAGCTGATTTCAGTTCTTTCCTTGGAGCATCACATCTTCAACAGAAAATTGCTACTTTCCTCTCCGTGCCTTGTTTTGGGGTGGGGACAGGGTGGAAAAGGGGGCAGTGCCTTTGAAGGACTGCACAGATCATTGCTCAGAGCTTTCCCTAACCTCAGAACAAGCATTGCGCACTTGAGCATGACTTGAATACACCTTAAAAGTAAGGAGAAAAAAAAATATGACAGTAGAGGCCTAATAGAAACCATTCTAACAGAAATAATAATTGGATGCCACTTTAAAACTGATGAGACCCTAGTAATACTCTTCATTTTGTCTTTCTGATATTGCTTGGGAAAAGGACTGCAATATGTAATAAACTATTAACAATACAGAAGAGAGAAAAAAAAAAAAAAAAAAAGAAAGAAAAAACACCCACTCTGTCTGATGTTTTGCCATGAGGATCTACTGGCTACAAACACAAAGCTTTCCAGGTCACTGTGTTCCATATTTTCCTTGTGAAATGTACTGTGCACTTTGGTCACTTGAATAAATCTGTGTATGCCGTTTCCTAATAAATTTTTTATTTTATTGCCTAATAAAAGGGAATTCAAAGACCATGTGGATCTGTAATTGAAGATTCTATGCTTAAAGAGAGAACAATTTTATAGCAGCACAAGGGACACAGTATTTGTTATGAGAATGGAGCCTACCCACATCATAATTTTTGCATAGCAGATGTGAAGCAAAGCTGCTGAGAATTTTTTTGCAGACAGACCCCAGCCAGCCCTGGATCAGTGATAAAGGAATCACAAAAAAAAAAAAAAAAAAACATGGACAGGGAGCATTTCCCAAGTTTTTCCATGTGCAGGGCTAGTTTCCCCCCCAGCCCCTGAGCACAGGGGTCACCTGGGCTTGCCCACCCATCTCCTGCAGCACCAGCTCTGCCAGGCTGGGGCTTGCTGCCCTGCAATTGGCACCCATGAGCAGCACAGCCACTTCCCTGCCCAGGCATCAGTTTTATTTAGGCCTTAGGCTGCCCAGGACAAGGGTGTACAAGGGGATCACAGTCAGGAAGTGTGTGTACTGTGGAGCGTGTGTATTGTAACATTAAAAAAAAAAAAAAGAAAATGCATCAAAGCCAGCCCATGCTTGTTTGATTAGCTTATTAGCTTCCAGGTAGGTGTTTTAAAGGTTCTGCAATCCAGTTCAGTCTGACTGTGTCAAAGGATCTGATTGATTGATGAAGCATTCCTCCATAAATAATCATCTGGTCTGGAATATTTAATTTTGTAAATTAAAGTGTACTACACAGGTTTGTGACTACAGGACTGAGGAGAGTTTGTTTTGCTTCCTTTTCAGAAAATGTTTTTCTTTTCTTTTTTTTTCTTTTTTTTTTTTTTTTCCTGCTATACCACTGTACCATTTTGTATTTGATTAAAATATATAGATACATTTAATTTGGGAAGGGTATAGATTTATTCCCTAGATCATACATAAACGGCAAATTTCATATCAAATAACATTTAGTTTCTCTGTATCTTTCCAGAATTTCCTGATCCAGTCCCATTCTGGTGGAATTTTGACTGACTTACACTCATGGATAAATACAAAAAGTTGTAGTTTGACAATGACTTAAATCACATTTCTTGAAATAGGAAAATTTCAGCTAGATTTCACTTTGACTTTTTTATTACCCCAGTCAACAGGAAATATTTGAAGCGGAAGAATGTTGTAATCCCCTTCGCATCAAAATGCAGCAGTCTAGTAGTGTTACCTAGACAAGATGACACACTGCAACTAAGACAGCTTTTAATATAGAGAAGGCAGAGCTTAGATCATGGACTATAAAATTGTCAGGAATAAACTGAAGTTGAGACCCTGTGGATTGGGCATCAAACAAAAAATGTAGGATTAAGGAGGATTAAAGGTGAAATTCTTTAAGGAGCTGTTTTAGAGTATATTTTTCTTGAACTCCTGAAAGATTTGCCAAAATACAGGAGGATGCATACATGATATAGTACCTTGAGGAAAGAAAGGGAATGTACTGGCAGAAAAAAATCAGTCATGAAAGGCTCAAGCACACACACAAAAAAATGCTGGAAACTGGGAATACATTGACTGGAAGAGAAAAGACTTCAGAATATTACATGGTCACATTTTACCTTATTCATTAATGTGTTATAATGTGATAGAAAGAAAATGGGATTCTGAAGCATATCGTGTAGAAGTTTTCAATATCAGTTAAAATGCATGTGATGGTGTATGAGACTCTGCAGCTATCTGTGATGGAAACTGAATTTTCAACAAGAATTAAAAGCATTGTGAGGCTGATGTAGGGAATGGAGAGCCTTTTGCAGGACAGAACTAGAAGGGATTCATTTCTTCAACATAGTTAAACAACAGCTGAGGGAATAAGTCATTGTTTTTATAAACATAGTTTGAGGAAAAACTAAGCTAAAAGGCAGTATAGGTACAAGAACACATAGGTATAAATTCACTGAAAATAGTTATAGTCCTCAAATTCAAAGAATGTCTCTGATTATATGATGAGTGGGGAGCTGGCATAACCTACCATGGGGAGTAATGGAGGCAAAAGAATATAAACACCTAACCACTTTAATGTTAATTTAACAGATATTGTCCACTATCACCATCAGTAAATGAAGTACCTTATCACCTAGAATGGTATAAAACTCAGTTGTTGTTTTTTTGTTGTTGTTGTTTAGTTTTTTTTTGTGTGTGGTTTTTTTGTTGTTGTTGTTATTGTTGTTTTTAATCAGGCATACAGGAAGATCAATTATTGTTTTCACTTTGTTTTTGGTGTCATCCATTACTGTATTTTTCCTTACAAACATTAGCATTAGGATTTCTTCTATCCCTTGCATGTTTAAAAATAAGGTTACGTTATACTTAGCTCTGCTAGTACATTTTCCTACCTGATACCTTGTTATCCTACATAATTTCTAATTTAGATCCATCTTATAACATTTACTGTTATTATATATGATGG